ACAAGATCTTTAACCTTTCTGTCACCAAACTACAATGCCCATGATTCCACAAAGGCATCTACACTGCAGTTTTGACACAGCTTTCACTGCCAAGACTCAATGCTATGGAATCTTGTGAGTCGTGATTCCACAAAGCCTTTAGCCTTTCTGTCACCAAACTAAAACTCCCAGGATTCCATAGCATTGAGCCATGGCACTCGAAGTGGTATCGAACTAGATTAATTCTACAGTGTGGATGCACCTGTGGATAAATGTGTGGGCTAAAAGCAGAAGAAAGTTTCTAGGGGCAAATCTACACTGGAGAACTGAATGCATTTGGACATCACTTTTACTGCTATGGCTCAGTGCTATGGAATTTTGGGAGCTGTAGTTTGGTGCTGCACTCTTTGGTAGAGGTTTAAAACCCTGTAAAACAACAAGTCCACAGCACTGAGTCATGGCAGCTAAAATGTTGTCAAGTTGCATTAATTCTACAGTTGTACTCCTAGAAATCACAAGAGTTACTCATTAGATGAGCATTTCTCAACCTGGGGGTCGGGACCCCTGAGAGGGTTGTGATGAGGTGTCACAGGGGTCGCTAAAGACCATCAGAAAACACAGTATTTTCTGTTGGTCATGGGGTTCTGTGTGGGAAGTTTGACCCAATTCTACAGTTCGTGGGGTTCAGAATGCTCTTTGATTGTAGGTGAACGATAAATCCCAGCAACTACAACTCCCAAATGTCAAGATTTATTTTCCCCAAACTCCACCGGTGTTCACATTTGAGCATATTGAGTATTCATGCCAAGTTTGGTCCAGATCCACCATTATTTGAGTCCACAGTGCTCTCTAGATATAGGTGAACTACAACTCCAGAACTCAAGGCTACCAAACCCTTCCAGTATTTTCTGATGGTCATGGGAGTTCTGTGTACTAAGCTTGGTTCAATTTCATTGTTGGCGGAGTTTAGAATGCTCTTTGATTGTAGGTTAACTATAAATCCCAGCAACTACAACTCCCAAATGACAAAATCAATCCCAAAACTCAAGGGTTTTCTGTTGGTCATGGGAATTCTGTTTGCCAAGTTCGGTTCAACTCCATCATTGTTGGAGTTCAGAATGTTCTTTGATTGTAGGTTAACTATAAACCCAGCAACTACAACTCCCAAATGACAAAATCAGTCCTGTCCCCACAATCCCAACAGTATTCAAATTTGGGCGTATTGGGTATTTGTGCCCAATTTGGTCCGGTGAATTTGAAAATACATCCTTCATATCAGATATTTACATTACCATTCATAACAGTAGCAACATTACAGTTATGAAGTAGCAACAAAAATAATGTTATGGTTGGGGGTCACCACAACACGAGGAACTGTATTAAAGGGTTAGGAAGATTGATAAATACTGCATTTGTGATCTCATCACACTAGAGAATGAATCTAATTTAAATCCAGTTGCTGCATCCTGCAGAATTTTGGGGTTTGTAGTTTAGGGAGGATACTTTAACAGCCTCGCTAAACTACAAACCCCAGAATTTTGCAGGAGGCAGAAAGTGAATTTAAACTGGATTCATAGTGTGATGAAGTATTAGGTGAATCTAGAATGAATGCAGATGGACATCACTCTCACTGCCATGGCTCAATGCTATGGAATCCTGGGAGTTGTAATTCTACCCCTTTTAACTGCAAGAGCTCAATGATATGGAGTTTGGAGTTTTACAAGGTCTTGAGCCTTGTCAAAGAATGCTGTTGCCACGCTAAACAACAACTCCCATGATTCCATACCACTGAGGCACTGACAGCATAATGAGCATTCATTCTAAGATGTAGATGCCTCCAAGGCATGACCCACGGCTCCTACTCACCTTTTCTAGGATCTTCGACCACAGCTTCCTCAGAAGATGACGGTTTAGTATTCCTTTCCGTGGGGGAAAGGGCCCCTCTAGATGCCCTCTCCGGTTCCCCTTCGCTTTGCTGCCTTTGTGCGTGTAAACACTGGAGCCGCGCGGCTGAGTCTTGGCCGAGAGAGAGAGAGAAAGATCAAGGTTTCGTAACACACGGCGGACCTTCCCGGAAAAACAAAGAAAACATAAACACTCGGGGCGCAATCCACGCCGAGAAAGAGAGGGAGGGAGCCCTCGGGCCCTTGTACCCATCGGGAGAAAGGGGGGACAAAAACACAGCCCATGAACCCAGCCACAATATAGAGCACGTTTGCATCTACATTGTGGAAGTACAACAGTTTGACAACACTTTAACTGCCATAGAATCTTGGGAGCTGTAGTTTGGTGAGGCCTCACTACTCTTGCCCCCGCCATGATTCCATAGCATTGAGCCATAGCAATTATAGTGCTGTCAAACTGCATTCATTCCACAGTGTAGATGCACCCTCAGTCTGCATCCATCCATGTTGACTTTATTATACTGTATGCAGTTAATTGCCAAGGCTCAATGCTATGAGTTGTAGTTTTACAAGGTCTTTAGACTTCTCTACTGGTGCCTCACCAAACTCCAAATATTCCACAGCACTCAGTAAAGTGGTTTCAAAGTGTGTTAATTCCACAGTGTAGATGCAACTTCAGTCTGCATCCATCAATGTTGACTTTATCATACCGTTAGTATGCAGTTGATTGCCATGGCTCAGTGCTGTGAGTTGTAGTTTTACAAGGTCTTTAGGCTTCTCAATGGGTGCCTGATCTAAGTACAACTCCCAGTATTCCATGGCACTCAGTAAAGTGCTATCAAAGTGTGTTAATTCCACAGTGTAGATGCACCCTCAGTCTGCATCCATCCATGTTGACTTTATTATACTGTTAGTTTGCAATTAATTGTCATGGCTCAGTACTATGAGTTGTAGTTTTACAAGGTCTTTAGGCTTCTCAATGGGTGCCTGATCTAATTACAACTCCCAGTATTCTATAGCTCTCAGTAAAGTGATATCAAAGTGTGTTAATTCCACGGCGTAGATGCACCCTCAGTTTGTATTCATTCATGTTGATTTTTTATACTGTTATGCAATTAATTACATTGGCTCAGTGCTGCGAGTTGTTGTTTTACAAGGTCTTTAGGCTTCTTAGCAGGTGCCTGATCTAACTACACCTCCCAGTATTCCATGGCACTCAGTAAAGTTGTATCAAAGTGCATTAATTCCATAGTGTAGATGCACCCATCCACGTTGACTTTATTATACTGTATGCAGTTAATTGCCATGGCTCAGTGCTCTGAGTTGTAGTTTTACAAGATCTTTAGGCTTCTGTACTGGTGCCTGATCTAACTACACCTCCCAGTATTCCATAGCACTCAGTAAAGTGGTACCAAAGTGTACTAATTCTACAGTGTAGATGCACCCTCAGTCTGCTTCCATCCATGTTGACTAGAAAACAGGATGATTCTCATGGAACATCTACACCAGGCATGGGCAAACTTCAGGTGTTTTGGACTTCAACTCCCACAATTCCTAGCAACCTACCAGTTGTTAGGAATTGTGGGAGTTGAAATCCAAAAGACCTGTAGAGCTGAAGTTTGCCCATGCCTAATCTACACTGTAGAATTAACGCACTTCAACACCACTTTACTGAGTGCTATGGAATACTGGAAGCTGTAGTATGGTAAGGCATCAGTAGAGAAATTTTAAAACCTTGTAACACCTTGTAAAACTACAAATCATAGTATTGAGTCATGGCAATTAACTGCATACAGTCTGAATGGTCAGGTTAGGAGAAGAGAGGCACTGTAGAATTAGTGCACTTTGACACCACTTTACTGAGTGCTATGGAATACTGGGAGCTGTAGTTTGGATAGGCACCAGTAGAGAAGGCTAAAAACCTTGTAAAACCTTGTTAAACTACAACTCATAGTATTGAGTCATGGCAATTTACTGCATACAATCTGAATGGTCAGTCATTCAGGTTAGAAGAAGAGAGGCACTGTAGAATTAAGACAGTTTAATGCCACAGATGCAGATTGAGGTGGCATCTCTGCGGTAAAATTAATGCACTTTGACACCACATCAATGAGTGCTACGGAATACTGGGATTTGTAGTTTGGACAGGCACCAGTAGAGAAGGCTAAAGACCTTGTAAAACTACAATTCAGAGAATTGAGCCGGGGCAATTAACTGCATAACAGTATAATAAAGTCAACATGGATGGCTGCAGATTGATGTGACATCTACACTGTAGAATTAACGCACTTTGATGCCACATTACTGAGTGCTATGGAATACTGGGTGTTTGGTGAGGCACCAGTAGAGAAGGCTAAAGACCTTGTAAAACTACAACTCATAGCACTGAGCCATCTACACTGTAGAATCAACACACTTTGAAACCACTTTACTGAGTGCTATGGGATACTGGGAGTTGTAGTTTGGTGAGGCACTAGTAGAGAAAGCTGAAGACCTTGTAAAACTACAACTCATAGCACTGAGCCAGGGCAATGAACTGCATAACTGTGTAATAAAGTCAACATAGATTATGCAGATTGAGGTGGCATCTACACTGTAGAATTAGCACACTTTGATACATTACTGAGTGCTATGGAATACTGGGAGTTATAGTTTGGTTGGGCACCTGTAGAGAAGGCTGAGGACCTTGTAAAACTACAGCTCATAGCACTGAGCCAGGGCAATTAACTACAAAGGAGTATAATAAAGTCAACACGGATGGATGCAGACTGAGGGTGCATCTACACTGTAGAATGGAGGCAGTTTGACACCAGAATGCTTTCCACAGTGTTATAAAGGATGTGAGGCGCAGGGGAGAGGACACGTGTCTTCATTTTGCACCGAGTTAGTGACACGCGAGTTCTATCCCACTCCAGAGACAAGTTGGGACCCCTTCCCTCAGGCAGCGGGTTGTGAAAAAAGGAAGGCGGTGCCATGTTTTCACACAAACACACACAAAAGGAGAAGCGGCCAATGGCGGGGAAGCGGTACCCGGACGGACAGGGGCGGGGGCCAATGGGAGCGCGAGGCGGGGCTTCACCCGGGGGGGGACTGGCGGCCAGCGCCGGTAGCGGGTGTCATTCTCGGCAGGAGCCACAGAGGGAGGAGGAGGAGCGGCGGGGCGAGGAGCAGGTACCCGTGGGCCATTGGCTGCCTTCCCGGCTCCGTGGAGAGGAAGAGGCGCGCTGGTTGCCAAGGGGAGGGGGCCCACCTTGTGCCCAGAGAGCGCCTTCCCCCCTCGCGGTATCAGCCCATCCATAACTCTTCCTCAAAGCTCTTCCAAGAGGCGTCGTAGGGAAGCATTGCCATCGCTGTGAGTGAGGAGGAGACGCTGCTCGTAGGCTGAGGAAAGGGGGAGCAAGGCTGGAACTGGAGGGGGAAATGTGATACTATACTAGGCTTGGGATCATAGATCCATCTCTGTATTGTCGAAGGCTTTCATGGCCGGAATCACTGGGTTGCTGTAAGTTTTTTCGGGCTGTATGGCCATGTTCGCTCCTGAGACCTCACAACCTCTCGGAGGATGCCTGCCATAGTTGCAGGCGAAACGTCAGGAGAGAATGCTTCTGGAGCATAGCCAGACAGTCCGGAAAACCCAGATCCATCTCTCCTTCTTCCCCTTCCTGCTTTGCATGTGTTGTTGTGTTCTGTACTCCGTGTGTTTTCTGTTCTTCCCATTGTACAAACTCCACGTTTACCACGGAGGGAAAAGTTAATGATGTCTTGTCGAAGCTTGTTGTGAGTTTTCCAGGCTGTATGGCCATATTCCAGAAGCATTCTCTTCTGTCGTTTCTCTCTCTTGTTTTGGTGACTTGAGAAACTGCAAGTCGCTTCTGGTGTGAGAGAATTGGCCGTCTGCAAGGACATTGCCCAGGGGATGCCAGGATGTTTTGATGCTTGACCATCCTTTGTGGGAGGCTTCTCTCATGTCCCTGCATGGGAAGCCAGAGCTGACAGAGGGAGCTCATCCGCGCTCTCCCTGGATTCGAACCTGTGACCTGTCGGTCTTCAGTCCTGCCAGCACTGTACCACCAGGGGCTCCTGACTTTTCTCTCAGGCCGTAAGAAGCCAGAACTTGAAACTGCTAGGCCATTCAATGTTAATCAAGGTGGCCAATGATCAAAGGCCTGGAGACTATGAATCCCTATGAGGAGTGTCTTGAAGAGCTAGGGAATGTTTAGCCTGCAGAAGAGAAGGCTGAGAGGAGATAGTAGCCATGTATAAATATGTGAAAGAGTGCCATATGGAAGAGGGAGTAGGCTTCCTATTTTCTGCCCTGGAAACTAGGACTCGGAGTAATGGGTTCAAATTACAGCAGAGGAGATTCCACCTGAACATTAGGAAGAACATTCTGGCGGTATGAGCTGTTCAATAGTGGAACTCTTAGCCTTGGAGTGTAGTGGACGCTCCTTCATTGGAGGCTTTTAAACAGAGGCTGGATGACCATCTGTCAGGGTTGGAAAAAGTGGATTGAATAATAGAATTATAGAGTTGGAAGAGACCTCGTGGACCATCCAGTCCAACACCCTGCCAAGAAGCAGGAAAATTGCATTCAGAGCACCCCCAACAGATGGCCACCCAGCTTCTGTTTAAAAGCTTCTAAAGAAGGAGCTTCTACCACACTCCAGGGCAGAGAGTTCCACTGCTGAACAGCTCTCACAGCCAGGAAGTTCTTCATAATGTTCAGATGAAATCTCCTTTCTTGTAGTTTGAAGCCATTGTTCCGCATCCTAGTCTCCAGGGCAGCAGAAAACAAGCTTGCTCCCTCCTCCCTATGAATTAGTCTCACATATTTATACATGGCTATCATGTCTTCTCTTGGTCTTCTCTTCTGCAGGCTAAACATGCCTAGCTCTTTAAGCCGCTCCTCATAGGGCTTGTTCTCCAGACCCTTGATCATTTTAGTCACCCTCCTAGATGGCCCATGTGCTCTCTTCCAACTTGTATTATTCTAATTGAAACATTCACATCTCCCTCTAACAGACAAGAGTTCTTTCTCCCACCTTGGACCTTCCACGGATATTTAAACCCCATTTTCCTAGTTTCCAACAAACCTCACAACCTCTGAAGATGCCTGTCATAGATGCAGGCGAAACGTGAGGAGAGAATGCTTCTGGGACATGGCCACACAGCCCGGAAAACTCACAAAAACCCAAAGTTAATGATGTTGTGATGAGCCATCCTCTCTCTTCCTCTCTCTCTCTCTCCTCTCGGTGCCTCATCTTCATTATGTAAGGAGGAGGTGGAGAATAACAGGCTTTTCTCCCCTCCTTTTGAGGGGATTTCAGATCTCATATTACTTTCTCTCCCCCCCCCCCTCTTCTTCATATTGTCAGGAAATTGAAAAGATAGCAACCAGAGGTTGGTTGGTTTGTTTATTGGAGGGAAAAGAGGCGTTTTGTTTTCCCCATTCAAACCCGCCCTCAGCTAACTCCGTGGGCTTCCCAAGCAGACCTCACAACCTCTGAGGATGCCTGTTATAGATGCAGGCAAAACGTCAGGAAAGAATGCTTCTGGAACATGGCCATACAGCCTGGAAAACTCACAGAAACCCGGTGATTCTGGCCATTAAAGCCTTGGGAAATACATCTTTTGTAGTTTGTGGGTCAATGTATAACACTTCTTGATGTCATACAGGTAGTCCCCAAGTTACGGATAAGATAGGTCCTGTAGGTTTGTTCTTAAGTTGAATTTGTATGTAAGTCGGATTTATTTACATTTGTAAGTGTAACTCCAGTCTGTTTGTATGTCTGTCTAGACAAGGCTTGGGCAAACATGAGCCCTCCAGGAGTTTTGGACTCCCAACTCCTACCATTCCTCACAGCCTCAGGCCCCTTCCTGAGGCTGTGAGGGCCTGAGGCTGTGAGGAATGGTGGGAGTTGGAGTCCAAAACACCTGGAGGGAGGGGCGAAGTTTGCCCATGCCTGGTCTATAAGCTTTGGGCAGTATACAAATAAAGTATTATTATTATTGAAAAATTGGTTTGTTGTTGAAACAGGGATTGGTGATAAAGCTTCAATGGAGACTCCTTTTCCCCAGGATAACTCTTCCAAGAGTGACTTTCCCTTCCAAGGGGTAGATTTCTCTCACTTCCTGTTGTCTCACCTCTGTTCTTAACTAGGCGTCCTTTGTAACTCAGGGATTGTCCATACAATTATTGTTCTTCTGTTGCATCTGTGCTCTCAAGCCGCCTGTAAATTTTTGGTGACCCCAACAATGTCTTCCGCGAAGAATTCTTTTCACAGTCTTTCCTCTGAAATGTAGCCTCCATTTTTGGTCTCCCATCCAAATATTGACCAGGGCTGGCCCTGCTTAGCTTCCAAAATCCTCCAGAATCTGGAACCCTTTAAGGCAGAGCTTTCCAGGCACTTCCTGTTGGAGACAGTTTTTAGACACGCGTCATTTTGCAACACAGTAATTCAGTTTTTGGCAATTTTACCTCAACCCTGCAGGCTGCTAAATAATTTGACTTATTTTAAGCATTTCAGTAGTGCTGGCTTTTCTGGAACTTATATGTTTGTTTAGATAATTATCTTGTTTTATTATTAATTTTATATTTTTGCTTAATAATTTATTAGTTTGTAATGATGCTACTTTGTACTGTTTTTGGATTGTGTTTGTTCATTACCAGGCATTGAATGTTGCCTTTTTGCTTGGAAGCCACCCTGAGTCCCTACAGGGAGATAGGATGGCCTATAAATGAAGATGATGATGATGATTATTATACAAACAAATATAAGAGATGTAACAGATATGGGCAGGATGGTCAAAACATCAAACATCTGGGCATCCCCTGGACATCGTCTTTGCAGACGGCCAATTTTTACACACCAGAAGCGACTTGAAGTTTCTAAAACAGCTCCTGGCATGAAATAAATAAACAAATAAACAAATTGTAATAACAAAATGTATTACAATTTGTATATAATTTATTTGTATATAATTTAAATATATGATTTATTGCTTATTTCACATCGGCTCAGAGGTTTCTCATTTTGCATTGATGCGACACACAGCTCTGCTTTAGGGTATGTTGGTCCACTTGTCCTTTCATACTTAATAGAAAGATAACAAAAAAATATTTTTATCTTTATTCCTGTTGATGAAGTTGTAATATTCACCAAGGGGCATTTTCCACACATAATGTATAGAGGAATGCACAGCCTGAACATTGCCTTCACAAGTTTGCATTTGTTGTTCTTCAAAATAGAACAAAAGTAGTCTACAGAAGCTGTATGATGACAATTTTTCATATCTTGCAAGGCATCGTGCCCCCCACATACATACTTTCTTGATGGTCTACACTTTGCCAAAAGTCATGGAGCCTCCCTAGAAAAAGAGGAAACTCTTAATCCTTTGGAAAGTTTTCCTGCTGAAGCCCTACTAATCAAAGCACTATCAAGAAGAGAGCATCTGTGGGAGGCAGTGTGGTATGGTTGTTGAGAACACATTTGTGTTCTTATGCAGCTCTTATTTATTTTCATGGGACTTATACAGAAAAAAAATCCCACTGAATTGTTCCTGAAATGTGAAAATAAACCTCTGAACTTTATTGGCACAAATGGCACATTGCCAGATGTATGCTTTATTGCAGCTAGGTTCTTGCTCTTTCTATGTATTTATTTTGATTTTTTTAATCGTGTCAGAAATGACTTGTGGTAACTGCAAGTCGCTTCTGGTGTGAGAGAATTGGCCATCTGCAGAGACATTGCCCAGGGGACGCCAGGATGTGTTACCATCCTATGGGAGGTTTCTCTTAAGTCCCCAATGGCTGTGGTTCTCAACCTGTGGGTCCCCAGGTGTTTTGCCCTATAACTCTCAGAAATCCCAGCCAGTTTACCAGCTGTTAGGATTTCTGGGAGTTGAAAACCAAAATATCTGGGGACCCACAGGTTAAGAACTACTGCCGTATGGGAAGCTGGGGCTGACAGATGGGAGCTTACCCTGTCTCACAGATTCAGACCACCAACTTTCAAGTCAGCAGTTCAGCTGGCACAAGGGTTTAACCCATTGCGCCACTGCAGCTTCTATTTATTTTGATTCTCATTGTTCGTTTGTTGGAGGTACTATAAAACCAGTAGGTTTACTGATAACGTGGGTTACTAAGGGTCTATAGCTGCATTGTTAATGTGACTTTTAAAAAATCTGTGTCGGAATGTAACTTCCTATGAATCATTCTTGGAAACAAATGCCCATCATTCAGAAGTGCTAAATAGTATACAAATGAATAAGAATGTATTTCACTTTTAATTAAATTGCCAAAAGGTTTTGTTGCAAACTTTATAGGGATAAGAGTGCTGTTTTATGTTAAGT